TCTGATGTGGATTATAGACTACGCATATCTTGAAGTGTTTCTGACATTTCCAAACATTTAATCTGATTATTTCGCATATGTTTTGCGTCGATCCCATACTCTTGATTAAATCGTAGTTTTAGGTAAGGGCTTCTTTTACTCAGGTCAGAATTCCATTTGCATCTTACCGGTATTAATTTCGAAGGTACAGGGTTTAACCTGGGAAATGTTAGTATTTCAGTTTATCATCCAAAAGTTTCGCTTCCATAATTGTGAGGATCTGAAGACATTGTGATTCGCCCTGTCGAGGGCAATTTCTCGTATAGCTTGTTTCAAGCAAATCATAATAAATTGAAGTCAAATGCCGAGTAATAGACTATTTTGCCGTATGAAGATAAGTTGTCCAGGGTGCACCACGTAAAGGTTAGTCTATCGCGCACCACATTTGCCTTGCCATTATGAAACTAAATCAGGTATGCAAATAGAATTAAATTAAATCTGATGAGCCAATCAAAATATATAAGAGTCCTTCGTAATATCAACAGAGTCGGTTGCGCATAGACATATGGCCAGGAAAGGAGTAAATAAACTTTACGGTGTTGGTGTAAAATGAAATGAAAGGAGTCCATTTTGGAGTTGTCTCCAACTGACAATCGCTATATATATATATTGGTATATTGGTAGACAAGAGTCAACTGGCAATACATATATGCAACAATAGCATTGGGGTTATCTCTTAGGCACAGCTACTTAACACCTTTTTCATAAATCGCACCATCTGTTGTGTTTATAATTTAATTGACTACCTCATTTCTTTTGCTGAGTGCCAACTTATGTTATTTAATAATCCAATGATGCGCTTATTCCTTCCTATTCAATTAGCCTACCAAACCACCCAAAAGTTTCTGCATTGTATTAACAGAATATGTTAAAAAGTTTTTTTCTAAATACACTTGCAGATTTAACTAATAGACACTGTTACACTCTTTTGAGCAAAAGCAAGTAAGACCTTTTATCGTTCGAAGCAATAAATTTGAATTAATTGAACGCAATAGGTTTTTAAATTTGACGATATATTCGCTAAACGTCGAAGTTTTCTAATTCACTTTGATGACGAACCAATTTCGGGAATCTTTCTATATTAGGAATGTTCTAGTGCATTTGCCAATTTGTCATTCAGACTATTGAAGAAAGCTTAAAGAGATAGATAAACATTCAAAAAGACGGATATATGTTTAAAAATTGAAAAGTAATAGAAATGGCATTTAATTTTATAACGTATCTTTACAAAATTAAATGCTTGTCTAGAAAAGGATTCGTTCATTGTTAAAGAAAACAGAGGCGTGAAGACAATTCTCCGATTTCCTGTAATCAATTGAATATCCATTGAGTGATTCCAACAGCAACAACTAGGTGAAATGAAAGTTAACCCTACATGAATGGGCAGAGAAGAAAGCCACTTACGAAAAACACTAACTTACTTGCGAAAAAAATCCAATTGTGACACCTGGTTTGTGCCTGGCAGATAAATATATATAAATACCTTAGGATTAAGTAAAATACATTGGATTTACTTGCACATTTGCAAATTCGTTTCAAATTACTTTATTGGGTTAAAAAAGTGAAAGTAAATAGCAAAGGCCTTGGAATATCTAAACAAACTTATCGACCAATCACTTCGTTGGGCAAAAGTGCATTTAATGGGCGATTAATGCAAATAAACAATATAAATATGGTATTTAAGGTCATGAAATCTGTCATTCCTTGCGAGATCTTACCATTGCTTGTTAGTGTTGTTGATTGCTTAAATCTTAAAATATAAAATTGCGACTGTTGGAAGTTACTATAACCGTGTAGATTTCATACATTTTTCATGGCATTTATTCTCCACGGAATGATATGCAATGTCCATTACTTGTTTTGTCTAATTAATATTTTTTTCGAAAACAAAACTCCCACTGAGTGTGTTTGCACTTTGCGTTGCTACTCCGAAATAACCGTGTAAGTTGCGCAAATGTTACAATAAACGACGGCGAAAAACCCGATGAAGTGTTTCCAGTATGCTGTTAACACATGCATTGCGCGATTTGTCCCCTGTTGGGAATGTGAACCTGGTTAACCAGTTTATCTACATAGGGGCAGAATCGTTCATGAAATGAAAGCAATATAACTTCGATTATTTACTTGATTGGTGTTCCTTATTAAAATCAATTTAGGAAGTGTTACTCTACAAGCGAAATTGCACTTTGATAGATGTGAAGGAGAAAACAGTTCTGCTAAGATAAATCTGCCAATGAAACGAAAGAAATACGCTTAACTTTTACGTGAGATTTTCAGTTTCATTCACGATATAAAATTATATATTAGTATCATTTCGTACAGATTGAAGAAGCCAAATGCAATGTTGCTCTAACAAAAATAAGTGATTATTAACCTGATGACACCATAAAACAACATAGGTAAGTTAGATACAGTTGACCTGAATGTTTAAATCAACTTGAGTAATTTCCAAATTGTAATTCAAATGGAACTATGCATTAAACGGTGCAGATGATAATTAATATTTTTTCCTTGGAATACCACTGAATTAACAAGGACTCTGACACAAAGTTTCAATTTTCATCCACATTACCAAGTGCAGCATTTTTAATCGACTATGAGAAAGAGACTCATAAAAATGTGCATGTACAATTAGATATAATTAAATGAAAGGATGGTTTGCTTGCTTCATTGAAATTCGGTAACATTTGTGTGCATAGATAAATTATTTAGTCATATTGTGCCACAAATACTTAATAAATTCGTCTGCATACTTAGCGACACTAAGCAATCAATAAAGAAAATGAAAGGCTGACACCAATCATAATCAATAAGTGGTTGAATGCAAATAGATTTTTGAATGTTACATATGATTGACAATTAATATGTAAAATGAACACTATATGTATATTTCATGACTATTATTTAATTAGCAATCAATGAAACGACATCTTTTATTTGCTCGATGTCTGAGAACAACAAATAAGGGACTTAAATTCACACAGATGAAAACTTGATCTGTCGTCTTCACTACCTTTCAACGCTGGTGAAAAATGATGGGAAATTCTTTCCAATTTGTAGCGGATTGCTACACTAGTAAAGCCTGACCGACTCAGAAATCTCTATGGCAGATTCTCCTACATCTAGCTAGACTCCCAGAACTAGCTAAGCGATAGCCCAGCTATAAAAGGAAACAGGCGCGTAGCACGGAGCACGTTTATTCAGTAGATAAACCACGCAAGAAGTGTATGCAGGAAGGTAACTCAGTCATAAAGCATGGCGGTTTGGTAAAACAAGTGAGGGTCATTGAGCTGCTATTGGCTGCGTGCTCTTGTCCTCAATCCGTACGCGAGGTTGTACACCGCACTTCAAGCCTATGTATACGCGCATGCGATGACGTGTTCCACACCATTAACAGATCTTATCATATTAAAGAATTTTCCCAGTTAAATGAAAATTGTGCGGCATGAGAATGGCGAAAAATATCAGTGGGACTATTGAAGTTTTTGACCAACCACCATCTTTTACTACTGTTATACAATTCCGAGCACAATTTGTAATTCCGCCTTCAATCTCATGCCGCAATATATTTTTTTTTATGAAGAGAGGGTACCGTTCAGTATCTTAACATTTATCAAGGAATTCGGACTCTGGAGCGATGATGGAGTGTGATTGGTTTTTAAGAAATAGAACTTAACATGTTACTACTTTCATTACGATATTGTTTCCAACCTTTTGATCGAGAGGACTAGTTGGCTATTCATACAATTTGGGAAATGGAGACTGTTAATCTTGCATGTTCACTATTTCAAATGAACTTGGAAATAACTGGGACACAATGGAATGACCAATAATTGATTTCATGAATTCTAAAATCTCCCACCTAACTTGGCATTCGCAGAACTTTTAGTGAATACATGTGGTCAGGCTGTAGACGAAGCAGCCTAAAGTTAGCACACTAGGACTCAATAGGAATTTGAAAATTTGTAAATGTGCATATTAAATATATCGGTATAAATAAGGGATAAAATTAAAATTACTTCCTCTTCCAGGTAGATGAAGTAATGAGGTACAGAAAGCGAGCACATGGCACACAAAAACAACAAATAAAGCGAATGGTTCACAATTTTACATCACTCATGAATTCGAATAAGCACATTTTAATAAGCAGAAATTAAAATAAAATAATATTTGGTAAAAAATCGATTGTGAAATTTTTCATCTGATTGGTAATTCAGTTTTAAAAGCAAATTCGCAATGTATATTTCTTAACTACAGCAAACGAGGAAGATTTAAAGCCACAAAGTGATTGGTTGGTTGAGCAGTAACCAACTAACTCACAATCATGTGCAGTAGTGGCATTGCTATCACAAAACGTCGTTCAAGGTCTATTTGTGCTTCTCTGGATGTAAGGTAACAATTTTGATGAGAACCAAAATATAGTTTTTAATTAAAAAAATTAGTATTTCGTGCATCAAAGGCATCTTTGATACGTTGGGAGAAATTGGCTGCTTGTTGATTAGTTGATCTTTGCGGCCTGAAACCTGCTTTTTCATTGCTAAGAATATTGGTGGTCTCAAGGAACCATGTCAGCCTCCAGTTAATCTCTCTTTCCATAAGTTTAGCCATAACGCTTGTGAGGGAGATAGGCCTATAGTCATTAAAGTTACTTGGGTCTCCCAGATTTTGTTGAAAAGAGTAAGCATGATTTCCTTGGCTTTTGGTTCCATTTCAATTTGAAATTCCGGATGGATACAGTCTTGGTAGGGAACTTTTGGCAATTTGACTGTTTTCTGACTAAAGGGTTTTTCCTTTGCTTGTGGGAATAGAACCTTGCAAAAAAGTTAGCTATTTCGGAATCGGTAGTATGTAGTTTGTTGTTTAAGCGTATTATTTCTTTCTTGGGTTTTTCCCTGATGTTTCGTAGGTTACCCAGGAATTTGAAAATGCGTTGAATATCACTTGGATAGTTGATATTTGAGATGGAGATATCGAAGAAAGTCCGTTTGGCTTGTAAGATGGCTTGTCTTTGGACAGCTGTCTCCAGGCTTGTACGTCTTCCGTTCTTCCAGTCTGATCAGAGTTCTTCCAGTCTGATCAGCAGTTTTGCGAAGGGCGTCTTGTCGTCTCCAGGCTTTTACGTCTTCCGTTCTTCCAGGTCTGATGCCAGTGTTGCGCGCTTTCTTTTCAGTTTCTCAAGGTGTTCAGACCAAAACAATCCATAGTGTTTAGTCTTGCCAGGGGAAATAGTTTTATTTGCCCATCTGATCATTATATTCATGATTTCATTGCAAAGTTTGTCAAGATGTTTTTTGTTGTTAAAGGGGAATTGTGTGAAGTTCATTCTCTAGAAGGTTTGTAAAGCTAAGAGTCTTAGCCTTCTTGAAGTTCCATGATAGCTTAGTTAGCACTTTCCTTGTTTCTTGAAGTTCCATGATAGCTTAGTTAGCACTTTCCTTGTCATGCTTTTGGTGCCGATGGTAATACTTGCAATGACTGGTTCGTGACCGGAACCAGGATCGTCAATAATTGCGCGGTGTGTATGCTCGTTGATGTCGGTTGAAGCCAGAAGCAAGTCAATAGTTGTTCTGGTTCCATTGCAGTGCAAATATGTAGCAGGATCCTCACTACTATAAATAAGTTCCAGAGGGTTGCTGTTTAGAATGTCTTCGATTTCTTTTCCCAATATTTTTTGCAGTCTTAGAGCCTCATCTGGTGAAATTTGTGTTGAAGTCTCCTAATGCTACAGCTTTGTGTGAGATGCTCAGAGAAACAAGGTTGGGACAATTCTGGGGCGGGTAATAGATTGCATATATCTTGAAGTGGTTTTGACATTTCCAAACATTTACTCTGATTATTTCACAAGTGTCTTGCATTGAGCCCATACTCTTGATTAGATCGTATTGTGATGTGAAGCCTTCTTTAACTCTAGTCAGAATTCCATTTGCAACTTGGAGGTATTTAGGTAGAAGGTAAAAGGTAAAACTTGAGAATTGGTAGTATTTCAGTTTCTCATCCGAAAGGTTGGCTTCCATAATTGTGAAAATGACTACATCATAGGTTTGAGGGATTTTCTGTACATGGATGTTTTTGTCCTGTAGCATCCCTTNAGTAGTAGTAGTTAATAGGTGCATATTTGAATATTTCTCCAGTTAAGTGTCAAATGTAAATTACNATTGCATATATCTTGAAGTGGTTTTGACATTTCCAAACATTTACTCTGATTATTTCACAAGTGTCTTGCATTGAGCCCATACTCTTGATTAGATCGTATTGTGATGTGAAGCCTTCTTTAACTCTAGTCAGAATTCCATTTGCAACTTGGAGGTATTTAGGTAGAAGGTAAAAGGTAAAACTTGAGAATTGGTAGTATTTCAGTTTCTCATCCGAAAGGTTGGCTTCCATAATTGTGAAAATGACTACATCATAGGTTTGAGGGATTTTCTGTACATGGATGTTTTTGTCCTGTAGCATCCCTTTAGAATTCCACTGATAGGCTTTATTGCCCTATGAAGATACGTTGTCCAGGGTGCACATCGTGGAGGTTAGTCTATCGCGCACCCCTAGATATGAAATTTTCCTACACAAAACATTCGGGTGAATTCACGTCATACATTTGCAGCGATCTTTACTTATTATAATCAAGCTCTTGGCTTGCGAAATTGCATAGGATGTAGGCTGATTAGTAGTCTTCGTTTCTAAATGGCATTCAAATTCAAGTAGTAGTAGTAGTAGTTAATAGGTGCATATTTGAATATTTCTCCAGGTAAGTTTCAAATGTGAATTACTTCTAAATGATGTATCACGTTCTCTACATTCAAAAGGACTTTCTTCAGTTCATAGTTATGCCAAATTCGCTTGCCACAGTCCTCACAGGCGAATATTTATTTCACCAGTATGTTTGCGTTTGTGAGCGTTCAATCGACTTGTATGAGTAAAAGACATTTGGCAACCATCCCAAGTGAAACGCTTTTCTTCACATACGGTTTCCTTACTCATATTTTGGAAGTCCTCTCAAAATTCATCTGAATGAACATCATTTATTGGACTGTTACTGTCTATATTGGAATTGGACTTCTTCAAGATTGCTCAAATTAAGGAGAAAAGTGTTGGGAAAGATAGGTTTACAAACTAGCATACTTTTGCAAATTTTCGAATTTGTATTCTGTTCATGAACTGACTGGGAGTGTGGATTTGAATCTCATTTTTGTTTTCGGATATGAAATTGTAATTTTGACAATGAAATTGTTTGTAATGCGCTTTTTGAGGTGTTTATAAACTTTATATTGCTGTCGGACTAGTTTTGGTTTTCTATTTAATTTCATCAGGCAACAGCGCTAGATTGGTTTCAATTCACCAAGAATTAATTTGTAATAATTCTGTGAAAAATTAGGAACTAAGCATTGGTCTAATGCTTTTCACTTCGGTTAATTTCTGCAAAAGATAGAAATCATGCCAAGAACTTTAATGAACTGAGAGTTGGACAGAATGATAAGCCTTTTATTGATTGACAATAGTTAGTTTTAACGAAGATAAGTGATGTGTTCAAAGCTATATTAATTACGANGGTTTGCAAACTATCACACTTTTGCAAGTTTTCGAATTTGTATTCTGTTCATGAACTGACTGGGAGTGTGGATTCGAATCTCATTTCTTTTTTCAGATATGAAATTGTAATTTTGGCAATGAAATGTTTGTAATGCGCATTTTGAGGTGTTTATAAACTTTCTNATGAAATTTTCCTACACAAAACATTCGGGTGAATTCACGTCATACATTTGCAGCGATCTTTACTTATTATAATCAAGCTCTTGGCTTGCGAAATTGCATAGGATGTAGGCTGATTAGTAGTCTTCGTTTCTAAATGGCATTCAAATTCAAGTAGTAGTAGTAGTAGTTAATAGGTGCATATTTGAATATTTCTCCAGTTAAGTGTCAAATGTAAATTACATCTAAATGGTGTACCACGTTCTCTACATTTAAAAGGACTTTCTTCATTGTAGATCTGTTTGTGAACATTCAGTTCATATTTATGCCAAATTTGCTTGCCACAATCCTCACAGACGAATATTTATTTCACCAGCATGTTTGCGTTTGTGAGCGTTCAATCGACTTGTATGAGTAAAAGACATTTGGCAACCATCCCAAGTGAAACGCTTTTCTTCACATACGGTTTCCTTACTCATATTTTGGAAGTCCTCTCAAAATTCATCTGAATGAACATCATTTATTGGACTGTTACTGTCTATATTGGAATTGGACTTCTTCAAGATTGCTCAAATTAAGAAGAATAGTGTTGGAAAAGATAGGTTTGCAAACTATCACACTTTTGCAAGTTTTCGAATTTGTATTCTGTTCATGAACTGACTGGGAGTGTGGATTCGAATCTCATTTCTTTTTTCAGATATGAAATTGTAATTTTGGCAATGAAATGTTTGTAATGCGCATTTTGAGGTGTTTATAAACTTTCTATTGCTGTCACACCAGTATTGGTTTTCTATTTTAATTTCATCACGCAACGGCGCTAGATTATTTTCAATTCATCAAGAATTAATTTGTAATAATTCTGTGAAAAATTAGGAACTAAGCATTGGTCTAATGCTTTCCACTTCGGTTAATTTCTGCAAAAATAGAAATCATGCCAAGAACTTTAATGAACTGAGAGTTGGACAGAAGGATTAGCCTTTTATTGATTGACAATAGTTATTTTTTAAAGAAGATAAGTTATATGTTTCAAAGCTAAATAAATAACGACGATCATAATTTACCCTACTTCAATACAAAATATCTCAGATATTTAAGAACTACACGAATTGATAAAGCACACTCTCTATTCGCAATCACTTTAAACGATTAGCAGAATTACATGTGTTTTAATTCAACGAATTTCATTAAGATGGAATTCATTTTTAAATCAGACATGGCATATCTTGATCAACCCCATGATGCTGGGATTCTCCAAATATTATCTGATAATTCTATCATATATATATTTAAATACTGTTCCCTTCAATACAAAACACTGATTATACGCCATGCAATTTTAGGAAAACGAAGACACTAACTCCTGACGATACTATTAGGACATTATATTAAATTAAACAATATCTAATATCAGAAAATGAGGCAGAATTCAATATTTTTTATTTTTTCTTAAGTTATAAGTATAATCTAGATAATTTAAAATAAGTGGATTTTTAAAAGTTGTTATGATTATATACGATGTGTACGTTTGCGTGCATCCAAATATCGATTTTGAAAGCTATACCTTCTGACATCTTCGTACCTAGATGCTCCTTCTCATGAACAGTGATGTTGCGCTATAAAAAACAAAATCTTTACAACATATCTCAGCCCATTCACTTCAAAATTCTATTAAATTTCACAGGAATGCGCCGATTTGTGTAAATTCCATTCATCTATACTTGAAAAACTCATTCCACATACATTGCATTTGAATGGTTGGTCTCGAGTTTGGCAAGGCATGTGTCTACTGAAGTAGTTATTCTGCCTAAAATTCTTTCCGCATTGATTGCAGCTGTAAGGTTTTTCACCTGTATGTACAAACAAATGTTTTTATAAAATTCCGCTTTCAGATCGGTAGCATTTTCTTCAAATGTGTGGGTGCATGTGATTCTTTTGTTCAGTTCTAATAGCTTTCCGCTCAATANCGCACCAGTTTGCCAGTAGTTTAAGTGCACAATTTAGAGCACTTTCTGTAATATCTTGAGCGTTTTTCCTAGGGGGGAATACCATAGAACAAGATCATCTGCATAAAGTAAGCACTTGATGAACGTGACTGTCTGTACTAATTCGTCTATATCATTGATGAAGACATTGAAAAGAGTGCAGCTTGTGACAGCTCCCTGTGGAAAGCCTGTTTGTAAAAGATTAGATTTTGATAGAGCATTTCCATATCTGCCTTCACTTTATTTTATTTATCAAAAGAAATATTATATATGATCTTATTTTGAGAGAAAAATATAATTTTGATCACAATACCATATAAAGTGAAATTTTTTTAACTTAAAGAAGACAAGACCCATAATTCTAATTCAAGATTTTCTCTGGCATTACATTCTCATCAATACAAATCCGAAACTCGTGAATTTTTTTTCAAATCTGCGATAAAGCTGCTTTCATTTCTAGAATCAATAATTTAAACAGAATCATTTGTAATGCTTACAAACAATGAACACATTATTTCAGCTGTCAGATCGGTAGC